CACTTTTGATCAGAGCACTTGTGTCTTTCACTGTGGAAAATCTTCAGCCATGATCTCTTCCAACCTTCCTTCTCCACATTCCCTTTGTTCTCTTTCTGAAATCCCATTAAATATTTCACAGTGCTGATCCACATCTCAACAGATTTCAAACTGCTTCTGTCTTTATCTCCCTGCACTGAAGTCTCTGTGAATTCCTCAGTGGTAGCTTCTGTTTTACTAATTATCCCTTCAACAGTGTCCAATCTAAAGTACATCCTAGCTTATATCTAAACTGTATGTAGTTTTCATTTCCAGTATGCTCAGTATTTATCATATTCAGTTGTTCTTTGTTTAATTTCTGCATTTTCTACACTTTCTTGTTCTCTGTTTTAAACTTTTTTCAGATTGTTATATAATTTGCATTTCTTCTGAACTCCCATCTCAATTTTAGTTAAATATCCTTATATATTTTTTGAATTTTGAGTGTGTATGTAAGTGCATCTTGAATGGGAATTTAAAAAATCTCTCTCTCTCTTTACACTCCATCCTCCTGGGTGTTTGGTAGCCTCTGATTTTCCAGGGCCTGTAGTCAGAACCAGGCCTGATTCTGATGGCTCTGGACTCCTGTCCAGAGGTGACACTGGGGATCGGGCAGCTCCAGTCTCTGGCCTGCCCTCCCATCACTGTAGGGGAGGAACCCTATATGAGCCATGACTCTGGAGGGACACCAAGCTTTCTTCACTTTCACCAAGAGAAATCCTGAGCCCCGCCCCTGTCTCAAGCAGAGAGCTTGGCTCCAGGCTCTCTCCATATATGAAATAGTTTGGGACCCTGTTAGCTGACAGAGTCAGACCCTCAGTGCCTCTGCTCCAAGAATGGACCTTCAAGACACAGATTCAAGAATAGACTCCAACAAACCAGCCCCTGATTTCAGACCTGGTTCCATTACTAAATCCAGGGTGATATTCGTGTTGCTTTTAAATGCATCTACCTTCTCCCCTTCCTCCTCCTTGTTTTACTTTCGGCCATACCATTACCACACATTGAAACAGGGTATCAGAACCATCTTGATTAGAAGTCAAATGCCTCATTCCTAATTGTTACTTTACCTACAAACCAGCCACTTTGTAAAGCCTTTCCTGACCACTCTTACCTGAAATGAACTATCTCTACTTCCTCTACTCTGCTTTTGCCTGCATTTAGCTTTCACCAAACAAGGTTCCTGAAGAAAGAGAGTGTGCCATCCCCTTTAGGCACCATCATATAAACATGAACGAGACAAGGTCTCTTCCTCAAGGGACCGAGGGTCTGGTCATCAAGCTGGATAAGCAAACAAACCAGTGCTGTGCAGAGTAAGTGCTTCAGCTCAGGGATGCCCAAGGTCCAAGTGACCCCGAGAGGCATGTGGTCTATACTGCCTGGGAGTGGGGCAAAGGGGGAGGGGCTGAGCCCCACGAGGAAGAGGAGTTTACTAACCAGAGAGCAGAGCTGAGAATAATCCAGACGAAAGGAATAGCATGTTCAAGGGCACCGAGGTGGAAAGGAGCAGGCTCCCTTGGAGAAACAGAGACACCAGTCCTAGGAGGTGTGGAGAGGGTGAGCAGGAGAGGATGCAGATGCAGCTGCAGAGCTGAGTGTGCAGAGCCTCAGACAACATTCAGGATCACCTAGGGACCATGGGAAGCCCTTGTGGGCTGAAGCATAAGGAGGGCAGGATGAGATTTTCACTGGAAGGGACCTGAAGCACTGGAAGAAACTATAGTGGAGGCAGAGTGGCCAGTTAGGAGACCACTACAAAAGTCCAGGCAAGAGACGACAGTAGGGGATCCTTGATGAACCTAGGGGTCCAGGATGGAGAAAAGTGGGAATGGCAGAGGTGAGATAGAATCAACAGGTATTTGTGATTGAAAAAGCAAGGCCCTGATGACTCCAGAGTTCAAAGAGCTTTCTAGACCCAAACAAGGACCTGGACATTTCCACAGACCTGGACAAGCAAGAGGAGACGGCTGGCAAATTCCAGCGACATGATTCCAGGTTGTCCCCAAGTCGGTGTCTCCAGAGCGCTCATTAATTTCCTACCCCTGCCCTGCCCAGGTACACATTCTGAATAGGTCTTTAATTAGCATAAACTAAAAGTATTTCCACCTTTTAAGAATATACACCTTGAGGAAAACAAAGACCTGTTTAAATTCAGCGTAGAAACTGGCTACTCTCTTACCATCTCTCTCTCTCTCTCTCTCTCTGGATGTCTTTAAAAATAAAGTGGGGACAGAGTGCTGCTGTCCCCACTTCTTCAAGCCACCCCACGTGAGTGCCGCAGCGTGGGGGTGTGGGAGCTTACCTGGCAGGCCCCACCCAGCCCTCCACACACCTGGCCCTACGGCAAACAAGCATCCCCAGAGCCTGCACAGCTGCATCTGGTCTCCTGTCTGCTGCAGGGCGGATGTCACTGTGGTTACACTGAGAATCTACCGCTTCTGTGAAAAATATCATTGGGGTCACAAAGTCTCCTTGGTGGGTTTGACATCCCCCCGCCACCCTTTGTTGAGCTCTGCACAAAGGGGCTGCCACCCCCCTGGCTGACACTTTTCTTAGCTGCCAGGCTGGAAGACCTCCAAGCCAGCTGCAGCTCACTTCTGGGAGGAGACTGACAGGACGATTCTGTTCTCAAGCATTGCCCCCCAGAATCTGGCCATCATCGTACTCAGGGACGTGGTTCCCGAGATCCAAATATCTACAGGGTGACCTTGACTCCTTTACCTTTGTGGCTGGCCATCCTCTTTACCACCCTCCCAATTGCAACCGTTGGCCAGAAGGGCCATTTAATTCTCCTCCTGCAGTGGGAATAGAGGCGAAGCAAAATGGGCAAAACTCTCTAAAACAAAGACTGCCCTGTCAAGACAGAGAAACAACCTAAATACCCATCGACTGGTGACTGGGTAAAGAAGTAGTGGTATATTTATTCAGTGGAATACTACTCAGCAATAGAAAAGAATAAAATAATGCCATTTGCAGCAACATGGATGGACCTGGAGATCGTCATTCTGAGTGAAGTTAGCCAGAAAGAGAAAGAAAAATACCATATGATACCACTCATATGTGGAATCTAAAAAAAAAAAAAGACACAAATGAAGTTATTTACAAAACAGAAAGAGACTCACAGACATAGAGAACAAGCTTATGGTTACCAGCATGGAAAGGAGGTGAGAATGGATAAATTGGGAGTTCAAGATTTGCAGATACTAACTACTATATATAAAATAGATAAACAATGTCCTATCGTATAGCCCAGGGAACTATATTCAATATCTTGTAGTAACCTATAATGAAAAAGAATATGAAAATATATATTCATATGTATGACTGAAACCTTATGCTGTACGCCAGAAATTGACACAACATTGTGAACTGATCATACTTCAATTTAAAAAAAACAGGACCCCCCCACCAAAACTAAAGATTGCCATATTGGTGGCCTATCTGGACTTAGTCATTTCCTCGTCACCCTCATTGATGGGAGTTAAGACAGCACTCTGTCTACAAAGCCAGGGACACACACACAAACAGAGTCATATCCATCATTACAAAGCGTCTTCCTTCCCCAACCTCCCTAGTCTTCCATTTGAAAATGTTACACGCACATGTGCAAGTAAGTCCTCAATGATACAGATAAGTTACTACAGCCTTACTAGTACCTGCAAAAACTGAGAAACTGCTCAAATGTCTATTACAGGAAAATGAAATTATGGAACAACCATTTAAAATGTGTTCCTTTGAAAACTTAAAAAAAATTTTTAAATGCACCCCTTTAGAAGTATGGGGTCGATCTACATGTGCTAACATGAAAAACTTTCCTTCTTCTTCTACTGTCAGATAAGAAAGGCAAGCTGCAAAAAGTACGTGCGTAGCACAAACACATGTGCTAAAATGATGTATAAACATCTGTACAGGTGTTTCTGAGGGACACACTTAACTGCAACAGTGGTTTTCTCTTGAGAATGAATGAATGATGGTGAAGAGAATTGAGACAGGAAAATTTCCCCATACACTTTTTTGTATTGTCTGAAGTTTTTGAAAAATATATATTGCCTAGGGGTGGGAGCAGGTGGAGCTCAGTGGTAGAGTGCATGCTTAATATGAACGAGGTCCTGGGTTCAATCGCCAGTATCTCCATTAAAAAAATATATATATATGTATATATATATGTAACTTCTGTAATTTAAAAGATACTTTAAAAACCATTTCTAAATATAAAATGTTAAACAGTTCATGTTTGAGTAAGCACCTTGGATGCTTTGGGCGGAGCAGGATGGGGTGCATTGAAATCAAAGTAAAAAAAAAAAGCCCATCCGAAATTTAAGTTCAGACCCAGTTCTGCAAACGCAGCTCAGTCCAAGCTGTGATGTGACATGTGACATCCGGGGGGTGTCTGGGACACAGTCCTCTCAGGCAGAACTCTCGGGTAGGAAAGACACATGAAAGAGAGAATGCCAAGGTGGCTTGACTCTAGAATCAAGCAGCAGCAGCATGAAGTGCACCCACTATAGGATGCAAAGTGGGAAAGACCCTGAAGAAATGGGAAGGAGGCACCCACTATGGGGAGTGCAAGGTTTCAGGACAGCAGCAGACAAGAAGGAAGAAAGCACGTGCCTGCCGGGGTCAGAGAGGGAAAACCGGCTCCACCCACGAATTCACCCGGGCTGTACACCAGTCCCCGCCCATCACCCAGAGCTGGGGATACAGGGAACTGAGGTCCAAGTCCCACAGCAAGGGAGCTGACCCCGAGGCTTAAGTAGAATAGCATTGCAGGCAAGAAGAGCCCAGAGTTTAGCCAATCTCAATCCCCATGGGAATGTAGCCGCAGATGGTTGGGAAAGATCAGGGCAGGGAACTGGACGGAGGCTGGGAGGAGCCAGCACCGTAAGGCTCTGAGCCAAGCCAGCGTTTAGCTTCCACGCGGTCCTGCAGGTCGTGGGAGGCTGCGGGAGTGACACCATCGGGTCCCCTTTAGGAGAATAATGTTCACAGCGGGGGGCTGGGGGACTGGCCAGGAGAGGGGCTGGTGGGGAGGCTGCTGCAGCGGCCTCACAAAGGAATGAGGCTGTGTGGTGAGGTTTCCCGGCTGAGAGAAAGCCGAAGGGTGCAGTCACCAGAGCACGCAGGCCCCGCACAAGGCTTGGGTGGGGGCTGCCCCGCGGATGTCTCCTCAGTGGAAGGGAGAAGGTCCTCCCTCCGTGAGCGCTCGGACTCCCCTGCGCAGTGCCCGAGAGGCGGGCCCGTCACTGACCCTTCTCAGCCCGCGGTGCCACCCTGCGGACCCGAGGCCCCAGGGCGTCAGTGCTAGGGCCACTTCGAGCGACGGCAACGAAGTGGACTCTCCTGTCTCCTTTCCTGCCTTCTCTCACCCTCATGCCTTGAAATGTCTCATCTCTGTCCTGTCTTTGTCACTCCCACAAGAGAGCCACTTTAAGGGCCATTTCCAAGCCCTTTTCCCTGTCCCAAACCCGCAGTTCTCAACCTTCCCCAGCTTCCTGGCAAGGCTGCCTCGACGGCTCCGGTTCACCCTCCGTCTCCGCTGGGCTGGAGGGTGACAACCGCTAAAGGAGGGCGACTCTCTCCGCGGTGGGGCTTCGGGTGACATCACATCCTCCAAACGCGAAATCGGCCTCGGCGGCCAGTCGAAGGGCGCAACTTCCCCCTTCGGCGTCCCACTGGCTCCTGCGCGCCTCCGAGCTCCGAGCCTCGAGCCGAAGCGCACGGCGGGGAGCGCGCCATGGCCTCGCCCGTGACCGCCCTGCTGCTGCCGCTGGCCTGGCTGCTGCGTGAGTTTGCGACCCCCGGGGAGGGCGGGGGCCAGGCGGGCAGTGGGGCGCGGGGCTCCGGGCTCAGCCTCGCTGCTTGCCCCCTGCAGATACCGACACGGCCCTCGGGTCTCACTTGTTCCGGATGTCGCCGGAGAAGGTGCAGGCTCACCTGGGCGAGCAGGTGAAGCTGGACTGCGAGCTGCTGCAGCCCGGCCAGACGGTGGGCTGCTCCTGGCTCTACCAGAAGCCCGAGGCTGCCTCCGGACCCACATTCCTGGCGTACATCTCCAGCAGCCGGTCCAAGATGGCCGAGGGGCTGAACACCAACTACATCTCCGCCACCAAGACCGGGGGCTCCAACTTCCAGCTCACGCTGCACCGCTTCCGCGAGGAGGACCAAGGCTACTATTTCTGCTCGGTCATGATCAACTCGGTTATGCACTTCAGCAAATTCGTGCAAGTCTTCTTGCCAGGTCCGGGCGCCGGGGACACGGCACCTCTAGGTGTAGGGTTTGGGGCTCACGTCTGAACCCATTTTTCACACGGATGCCTCGCTTTCGAGCCTCTTAGCTCCCCGGGGGCTACTTCGATCTTGTTCCCATTTCACAGAGAAGGAAACTGAGGCTAGAGTGCAGCTGGGTAGGAACTGAAGGTGGCTTTTTAGGTCTGGCTGCGCTGGACTCGGGTTCGGGTGCTTGCGTGATTCTGGGCAAGCTACTTAAATTCACTGAGCCTCCGTTTGGTTGTCAGTAAAATGCGGGTATCAACCCAAGCCCACGAGGTTTCTGGCTGGGCCCTGGAGAGAGGATGGGCGGAGGGGAGCGGACTCCTGCATTCCTGTCCGAAGCATCCGGTGCGCTCCGCGGACCAGCAGGTCCCGCCCCATCTCCCCTGCACTGAGCACAGAGGTCCGCGCGGGCGGCCCTATATGGCGCCCTAAGTGGAAAATCGGGGAGGAGGCGACTCTTGGGCAAAGGCGCGTGGAGCTGTGGGGAGGGTTCGCGTGCACCGCCCCAGCCCGGCCACCAACCTCGCTCTGTTGCTTCTGCAGCGAAGCCCACCACCACGACAGTGGCGACGCCGCCACCCAAGCGGGCGCCCACCAACGCGTCGCTGCCCGTGACTCCGCGCCCAGAAGCATGTCGGCCCTCGGCGGGCAGCAAAGGTGAGGCGCGCGCGGGGAAGGCCCACGCGAGCGGGCAGCCCTGATCCCGGGGGTGGAGCCGAAGCCAGGCTGAGTGGTGGGGAAACTTGAGACCAGGAGCCGGGAGAAGGACGTGCCGGGGCCGGCAGGGTCGGCTGGGGGATCCTGGTCCGCTCCTACATTCGGCATCTTGTGTTGTCACTAGACACAAGTGGCATGGACTTCGCCTGTGATCTCTACATCTGGGCGCCCCTGGCTGGGACCTGCGCCATCCTTCTTCTGTCACTAGTCATCACCGTCACCTGCAACCGCAGTAAGTCCTAGAGGATCTCGGCGGGGAGGGTCTGCCCCGCTTCCACCCAGGCCGCCCCTGTCGGGAGTTGGGGATGGGATTTCTGGGACTCTGAGCTGCACCGCAGGGCCAGGCACAGTCTGTTTCTTTCCTGGAGAGAGAACGCGGGGAAGCCTCTCCCCGCTGCTCCTTCCACTCCCCTGGAGGTTTTTAGGAAGGCTGTCCTATCCGCAGAGCGGCAGCAGCGGGGGTGGGGCGTTCCATTAGGCCAGCGCACAGGTCTGGGCTCACTGCAAATGCCCTGGGGGAGAGGGGGCTAGGGAAGGGGGGGGGG